ACACTTACTTAGTTTATAAGGAGACTGCTAAGCTTCTATTAGGAAGAAGATGTTTTCTTAATTACTAAGTAGTAGGCTTTAATATACTATATTATTATTATATTACCATTACTATAGTAAGGGTGGAGAAGAAGATAACTATAATATTTATATTAGATCTTAGGTTTCCTATTAGGAAAGGATGCACCTTTATTAAAGTCTATCTATATTAGAGATATCTGAGCTCTCCCCTAGCTAACCTTTTACTTTTAAGATTATATAGCCTTAGCCCCTTTTATTTCCTACTACTATAGCTAAAATGCGGGTTCATAGTCCTTGCTAAATAATATAATCTTATTCTTTCTATTTTAATTAAGGATTTGGAGGTTAGGGTGAGGGGCTATATATATAATACTTATTTATAAAGTATTATCTAACTATAATAAAGAAAAGGTAGATGTTGATAGATCTAGAGTATATTAAGGTATATAGCTATTAATAGTAGAAGATAGGCTAGTAGTGAATAAAGGAGAATTAACTAATATTAAATCTATAGAGAATAAAGATTAAGATATTATATTAAAATAGTTTAAGATACCTCTACTTACTGCTTCTAAGTCTAATAGTTACTAAGCTTAAATAATTTTTTATTACTTATAAAAAGTAAATATACTACTCTTAGAGGTCTGCTTTATTATTATAGAAAGAAAGTAATTTAGTCACTATAGAAATTATAATCTAACTTAAGTTAGATTATATTACTTTCCAAATTCCAGGTCTCTATTATTATACTAACTACTAATATTTTTCTAGGTAAACCTCATTACATCATAAGTAATAGAATTCCAAGTTAACCTTATATTAGTAGATATAAGAAATCTAACTAGAGTTAGATTTATACCTCTTATCCCTTTCTCTATTACTATCCTTCTTACTCTTTTTTTTACCTTTACTTTCTATATTATTATTATTATTACTCTTCTCCTCTAATTTATAATTGCTCTCCTCCTCTAATTCATAATCCTTACTTCCAGACTGAGATTAATAAGTAGGTTTTAATGAACTAGTAATGCCTAGAAACTACTACTATATATATTTAAGAAGCTTCTAGCCTCCCTTAGTTACCTTTATAGAAGTTATACTCTTAGGTATTACTTTAATAAATCTAGGATGTTTATTAACTACCCTTTAAACATGATTCTTGAGATTTAAGTGGTAGGCTAAAAGATCTTTATTATAATTATCTAACTAAGGATCCCACCTATTACTATAGAGAATAAGAGTATACTAATAAAGTTAGTCTATTATAGTTTTCCACTCAGTCTGTATATAGTTAGAATTAAATCTAACTTAAGTTAGATATATAACATACCTCATCATGGATTAAATAGCCTTTTAATTAGATAATCTTACTTAGGAAGCCTTTCTTAAGGGTATCTAGTATAATCTTTTTTAGATTATAGTATACCTAGATAGCTCTAAGAATATTTACTTTATCTCTAAATAACTTCTTTATAGCCTTATTCTTTAGTACATATATCTCACTAATCATTAGGTTTTAAGACTAATTAATATTTACTAATAAGTAGCCCTAGATAGTCTAATTAATAAGGTTCTCCTGCTAATAAATAGTTAGTAGTTTAATAAATCTAGCCTAAGTTAGATTATATACCAGTTTGGTAAGGTTATTAAAGTAAGCCATCTTACTAGCCATGGCTAGACCTATATAATAAATAGTGATCTTTACTATCTTAGCCTAATGTTTTAGCTTAAAATAGGCTAAATAGCTTATCTAATTAGGGGATGCTTTGGTGTTCATCTTTTAATTTAGAAGGGTGTTAAGCTAGGAAGAAATTAGTTTAAATCTAACTTAAGTTAGATTTCTTACTTACTTGTTTTATAAGTTCAGTATTATGCTAGAGTGATTTAATATAGACTTATTCCTAAACCTCTCTAATTAGGAGATTAGTAACCTTAATAGTGTCTATATTAGGAGCATAGCCCTGCATGCTATTAGGAGTAAGGGTTAATTTCTTAAGAATAACTATCTTAACTTCTTTAGTCTAAGTAAAGGTCTATAATGTTTTCTGAGTAGCTTCAGGGTATCACTACTTAGGATTAAACTAAAATATTATATATTTTAAAATCTTTACTATTGGCTCTGCAAGTTCCTTATTAATAACTATCTATGACTATTAAGATGAGTACTTAAGTTCTGGATAATTCTAAAGGTTAGAGAACAGTTCATAGTACTTAATATTAGAAAGACTTAAAAAAAAGTTAGGGCACTAGTAATGATAGATAACTAAATTAACCCTAAATGGTGCTATCTTAGGAAGGCTAAGAGTTCTATTAGTATATACTATTAGTAGTTAGAGAAGACTATGATTCAGTGTCCTATTAATAAAGTTATTATTTATAGGAAAGAATAGAGGGTAAAGAATATTATGCTCTCTTAGTATAGGAAGTATTATTAGGCAGCCCTAGTTTATACCTAATACTTTAGCTAAGAGCTTACTAAAGATAACCTTCTTAAATTTAAAAAACTCCTTAATATGCCTGAACTAAATCTAACTTAAGTTAGATTTTAATATTATGTATATATTAGAACACATACCTTATTAAGCTTACTAGAGATAATCTTATCTGTAGTAGTAAAGTTAAAGTATAATACCCTATATAGAGTTATATAGTAGTCCTTAAATAATCTCTTAAACTTAGAATGCTTAAGTATAGGGAGAATATACCTAACCTAATTAAGCTAAATACTAAGTATCTATGCAAGCTATTACTTAAGTTTACTAGAGGAAAGAAGGTTCTTTTTCTTTAGCAGGGACTTTATCTTAAATACTTCTAGTATATAAGTTAGAAAGATACTATCTAAATCTAGATTATTCACCTCTTAATGGTTTAATTAGAGTGCCATCTATATCTCTATATTAAATGTATTATTGTAATACACATTAACTACCTAAAGGTAATCCTATATATATATTAGTAGATGGAAATCTAACTTAGGTTAGATTTTACTTACCTCATCTATTGGCATTTTAATGGTGGGAGGTGGGGTGCCATTATTATTAGTAGTAGCTGGAGGGGGCCTGGCCACAGCTATCTATTAGTCTAATAGTAAGGATTCAAGGGCGGCCTTATAATGTTATTCTGCATTAAGGGTTATGTATAGAAGATCCTTTAGCTAATTAAAAATAATGATGTCTTTACTAGGAGAAGAATTAGCTATAGAGTTCTGTATAATCTCCTGTAAGATATAAGGGGTTTACTTCTTAACTAGATTACCTTTATTTTATAGTATAGGGGTGGTATTTATAGCTAAGTACTAGGTAATTAGATAGTTTAGTAGTTAGTCCTAATCTTTCTATGTCATGTTAGCCTTTATTCTGGTATTAATATTATAGTGCTAAACTCCAGATGCCATGCTTTCATGGAGATTTTCTAGGTAGCTAGTATTAAGCTTATAGTTCCTACTATTTAGCCACTCAGTGTTTAAGAGGTAAATATTAATAATTACTATGCCTAGTAATGCATCTCTAATTCTATTAGATAGTTCATTATTAATTACTAATATTACTATACTAAGACTCTTCTTCTTTCCCTTGGCGCTCATTATGAAATCTAACTTAGATTAGATTATAGCTGAATGTAGTTAAAGAAATAAGGAAATACTATAATAGTTAGGGAGATTAAATCTAACCTAAGTTAGATTTAATTAAATAATTAAGGCTAATTATATTCTTCTATATATATAGAGTTATAGAAAAAGAGAAGATAGTGAGGCTCTATATACATCAGGGGGTGTCTATATATAAAGTAGGTGGTTTATATAATAAATAGGGTGTCTATATATGAATAAAAATAAATAAGAAGGAGAGTTTAATTAAGTATAAAGAATTATAAGATATTATTATATATATATGCTTGCCTATTATTCTATAACTACAGCCTATTTATAGCTTAAAGTGAATAGAAGTGAATAATTTATGGTTAGTAGTGTATTCTTTATTTAATTTAAAGTCTAAGAGAAAATATATACTTAATATTTACTGAAGAATAACTAGTAATTCTAATATAACTATTGTAGATGAGGTTCCCCTCTGGAAACCTGCACAGAAATCTAACCTAGGTTAGATTTCCATACCTTGCATATATTATATTACTTAACTGATGCTTTATAAAAGAGGTTTTGCTTAATATACTTTAATATAATATTTGTATGTTTATGCTCTTTAAATTTTGGTATAGTTTTATGCGTTAAAAATTGCTTGGTGGGTTTACGGGTCCAACCCAGCCTAGACTAACTAGATTTAGTAGGCGGAGAATAACGTCCTTGGCAGAATAGAACCTGCTGGGTTGACTACCTTAGAACCCACTGGGTTATGGGCCGGGTTAGGGCCCTGGAAATTTAGAACCCGAACCCGCCGGGTTGGGTTCAAAAGATAGGAGAACCCAGCCCAACCCGCGAAAATAACAACCCTAAATTCTAGAGTATTAGTAGGTAGATTATAAGTAGGTATCTTATCCTTATTACTTAACATAGTTAATATAGTTACTAATAGATTTAGTATAGAATAAATGCTCCTAAAGTAATTTATTTAGTATAGTATTTAATTTATTATGTTCTAGAATCTGTCCCTGCTATTCCTACTAGTTACTACTTTAGGAGTAATATAGTTCCTAGACTATATCTAATACTTACCTAAGGCCTACTGACCAGGTAGCCTAATAATATACTAACTAGGTATAGGTTTGCATAATGGTATAATGATCTAAATAGGATTAAGGATAATTTAAAGATATATAAGGATAATAATAGTAAAGATAGAAGCAAGGCCTATTCAGTATATATACTTAATAGTAAGAGAGTAACTAATAAATTAGACTAGTAAACTTATACTTAAGTAAATGGCTTATATTAAATATAAGGAACTAAACTAAGAGTGCTAGATATAATAATAATAAATATTTTTATAAATGTTTTTCGATAACAATGTGATGATTTGCCCTCACCGTTCATGATTGATGAGATTACCCAATTTAGACTTCTCTTTGTTGCTCATTATGACACCCTTTTCTTTAAACAACATTTCCGCAGTGTCAAGGTCTAGTGGTTTTCGGCCCTGAGCGCACCTCCTGGCTTCTATGGCAGCGAAGTGAGGACGTAAGGTTCTATTGCCAAGTGCAGCATTGATAGCGTCTATCCCTTCGTTGAGATGGTCTCCTCCAAGTACGAGAGCGAGATGAGTATCAGGGGTGGCCAAGATTCTGTGAGCAGCTTCGGCGTGTCTGTTATCCTCCGGACCAGTAACCATCATAGTGGTTTTGCCGGATACCGCAGCCAACGCGTCGCCGATAGGCCAGGTGAGCTTGACAGTGATCTCATGAACGCCAACCGATGGAAAGAGCGCGCCATTAAGTCCACGCAGGAGTGTTAACGCGCTCGTAACACTTTCACCCGGTTGCAGGTCCTCCAGTGGGTTGTCATCGGTAAGCACGAGTGGTCTGAATGACCTGTGTGTGACTGAAGCGTCAACAACATATCCGGTCACAAAGCCGGATTTAAGGCTAATATTTGAAGGCGCCCGCACAGGGCCATCGCTGTTATTAGTCAGCTTCACAGTAACTCGAGCCGGCGCCCCAAGCGGTACTACTGCAAGCAGTGGCTCTACCTCAAACTCCAGCTCTGGAACCTCAACCTCCATATCTGGCTGTGAGATCGGCGGAGTTGTCTCAGAAGCCGCAGCGAATGGGACGCCACCCGGACGCACAAAGATATCAGAATAGTGACGCAGTTGGCGGACATCATTCTCAGCAAAATCCCATTTAATATTCTGGGGAAACTTTGGCGGTGTTAGGTCTCCTGTTCTTGCGATCTGATCGCTTGTATCCATAAAATACTGATTGTTGAAATTGTGCAAGAGACCGAGCGCATGCCCAATCTCATGTACTGCGGTTCGGAAGTAAGGAGCATTTTCTCCGCCCCAGCGTTTTCCATTGACTAGTCCGAAGTTTTTTTCAGGGATCCAGTGAGACGAGATACCAACGCCCTCTCGAGCAACTTTATTGGAATCAGTCGCACCCGAGTCGTACATGATTCCGCGCGGGGTTGATTCTATACGCCACACGGCCAAGATATGATATCGCCATTCGATGTCAAGGTTGCTCCGGTCTCTCCACTTCAGCATAGCTGAATGGAGTTCAGCGTCAGACCAACTTTCTCCACTAGTCTCAGCAATATCATCTTGGCTCGGAAAAACTGTCAATTCCCAGCCGATCTTGGAGCCGATGGTATGCCAATCCTCATTGGCGCCATTGTCAAGGGGGCGCTCAGAGCCTTTGACGGTGTCGATCTCAATAGATGCCTTGCGGTAGTATGGCGACACCCAGCCCATCTTAAGCCGGCCGACTACAGCACCGGCCGGATTCTTAATGTCTCCCTCAAGGTAGTGCCCTGTTGAAGGGTATCCCACCGGAGCGGCTATCCACATCATATTAGCGGTGAAGTCGCCCTCATTCGCCCAAGACCCGTTGGGATTAGTCGAGCTCGGCAATATATATCGCCAGCGCTGAAATCCAAGTTCGAGCGAGTCTCTGGCAGTCACACCCTCGACAATTTTAGTAATCGAAAGATAATATCGGTACTTATTCAGTGGTAGTATTGGAATCCCACCATCTGGGGTCGGTCCAGGGCCAAGGACAGTAGCACCGCTAGGATAGCCTGGTCGAGGAGGTAAAGTAATAGTCGGTCGTTGATAAAGATCACCGCTCGCTACTCTGCCTCCTGAGTTTGCCTCAACCCGCATGGTCCCGTCATAGGCTACCAAAGGCGCGCCAATCGGCTGGAAGTTGACTAACCAGCAGCCCTGGCGAAGCGACCTAATCGTAGGGAACGTAATCTGCGCGTCGACTGCATTGTCTGAACCTGCCGTGCTGGTAGCCGCACTCTGGTAGGAGGACCTAGCTGGGGGCAAAATTGATGGCAGTTCAGGAACCATAGTTTGTGTTTTCTCTAGTATGTAAATGTTTGAGTTGAGCACAAAACTAATGAATGAAGAAGTGAGTGCCTTTTGACTTCAGTGATTTCACCCTCAACTGGGTTGGCAATCTGAATAGAGAGTGATATACTTTGATCAACGTTCCCAGTAGCGCGAACGGATTTGATTAAACTATCCTACCTAGAAGTTCTCGAACCTTTTATGTTTCCAGCATGGCATATCTGCCGGCCTCATGCATTACCGTCATGGATGGCTTTACGCTTTACCGATCCATAATGTTGATAATTCTGTGACCAAATAATGACTAAATGATCAGACCATATGGCTGATCTGAGACCTCCCCATTAGCTGAAAACAGACAAAGCTGGCGCGGATATGTACGACTTTGAATACGATTATGCTTTGTGTTGTGGGGGTAGGGGGTGTGGGGGGTAGCATCGGCAGCACACTCTAAGCAGAACTTTAATACCTCCCAAGTCTTTGTCCAAAAGATATCCCCGAGCCGCGAAGTCCCAGGTGGCGTAAAAATTAGGCGTTCTTGCGTATCCATACCCGGAGCAGCTTATAATTTTCCGTTTGCGGGGAGTGTAATCGGTGTTCACAGCAGTTTTTTGGCATTCACGGGTCAATTAACTGTTTTCAAGCCACAGAAACTACATGAAGAGGTATGACCGCAGACATCATATGGACCATACACCCGGCTGCAATTGAAACCACAGTCCTCATACCATACAAAATTGAATGCTTTGTCTCTATACTACGGAATTTGCCCGTCAGAGTAAATTGAGTTAGCTAGATTATTTTCCCAAAATGCAGAGTCTAGAGCACTGACAGAGTTGTACAATCCGACAATCAGCAATCATGAAGGTCTATAATAACCAAGCAGCACAGCTAAGTTCAATGAAATGTACTTTAAGAATGTCAGAGAATATGTCACATAGTCAGATGCTTGGAAGGAGATAGTTAACTGTTCACGACGCAGTCTTCGATCGGCCATCCGCGTATTATGAGCATGTATTACGCCATATAGGAGAATAGTTGTCTACTCTCCACACCACTTTCATGAATCACGGGCGAAAAGTTATAGCTCATGACGGACCATTCATTCCGAGGAGCGAATTGCGCTGTTCCACTCTCTTTCTTAGCTACAGCACCCATCCCTTGGTAATGCTCAGCCGGCTCAAATCCCTGGATTGAACTTGAGATTCTCATGTCGAATAAATTCGGGGATAGCTGTCGTATATGACCACCCGAATGGGCTACAATGGTAGAGAGGGCCACAATGACAAAGCTTGGCGGACGCCGTTTCCACAGTCTGGGTTGTCCGGGCGTTGAACGGTGTCCATGGGTAATTTGTACAAACTTTGGTCAGACTCACATCTGGGAAACACAACAGTGACCAGCTTTGAATATAGCGGATCGCCGGTAAAATAAGTGAGAATAAGACTTAGACCGATATCATGATTTCGTAACTTTCTTGGTAGCCATAGATCTTGCACCGCAAACGGAAATATGTCGCTGCGCCAAAAAGATGAGAATTGTCATCCACAAACCATTACGAAGAGAAAGTAGATCATATGATTGCGCTTTTTCAGTAGACAGAAAGGGCTGTTGACATGGACCTCATCTCTCTTCTCATATAAGCCCTCCAATAAACAAAGTTGTACATAATTTATTATCCGATATAGAGCGGCAGACCCTACAGTTTGAGTGATTGATCTCATTTACCCTGACCTCTCGCAAAAAGAATTGATTTTACCACTAGACCAAAATACGAACCCGTACCCAGTCTAGTGGGTTGTGGTTTATAATCAACTAAAAGAGCCATATGCAGGCTACCACGACTATACATATCTGAGTACGTACATGTGGAGTATTCCACTTCCTGAAAACGATCTTAGAGCCTCGTCACGGCCTGCCGTGGCCTAATCGCTGTTCTCAGTGTTAGGCTGTCCTCGTGGCGCGTCACTTCGAAACCGCTGACGGCTCGGCGACATCTAGCACAGCCATGACCGTCCTAGCCCGCGAGATGGTGTCTGGCTTACCTTTCTTACCTTTAGCTGGGCCTCCCAGCAGACCCAAGACCCTGCTAAATGCGGTCCCACTTCACTCCGTAACTTCCTTTGAATATCCCTTAAATTTGGACAGTCCATCAACACGTGGGTGACTACGTCTTGCGCGCCGCACACGCACTGGTCGTCGTCGCGGAAGGCAAAGGTCTTTGCGTAGGTTGATAACCAATTGTGGCATGTACGTAGCTGTGTTAACAGGTACGCCCGGTTTCTAGGCAGGCTCCCATATAGCCTTCTGGTGTAGGTTGCTGGCAGGGTGCCGTCGATCTTTCGTAGGTGACCGCCTTTGTTGGATGAATTTCATTCCTGCTTCCACTGATTGAGGATATTGCCGCGGAGGTGGGCATTCTCCCTGGAGAATAGCGGGCGGAAGGGATGGGGTTTGCCTGGGCATGCGGTGACCTTGGCTAGTCGATCCGCCGTGTCATTTCCTGGGTTGTCGCAATGCCCCCTGGAACCCATTGAAGGCGGAGCGCGATTCACTCTCCTTCGACCTCTGTGGCGGCTTGGAGGATCGCTGGACAATCCGTTGCTCAGATTTGTTCCTCACGTTTGGAGTTGCCTGCAAGGCTGACCTACTGTCACACAGGTTCCAAACGACTCAAAACTGACCTCGCACTGACACACGGGATTTCCTTCGTTTCCCGAGTTGATTCTGAGTGTCAAGCTTGGCATCTAAGATAACGTACAGATTTGTCTTCGAGCACGAGTGGTGTATGTCATTGTATCGTCAAAATGGGCCTAGACTGTCCAGTAAGTTTGTCTTGTTGAGCGACGCGAAGCCAAAAGGTGGCTGTTCACGGACGATGCTTAATATGCGAACATCATTGGCTCTGATTAGATCAGCAAGCGTTCAGTTCGCTGCAGTATTCCACCGTAGTATTTTTCCTACCAGGCTTCAGTTCATCGTATTCTTGGATCTAGCCTACAATCCGACTGCGTTGTGAATATAATTTGCGGTAATTCTATAGCATTTTGTCAGGATGCAAGGTCAAGTGGCCCCTGCCTAATAATGACCAGTGCTAGGAACTCCAAGGTTGGTCCTACTACTACTGTCAAATTAACCACTCATACACGTTGAAATGTCTGAACTGAACTAAGGTTCTGAGCACCAATGATACATCGCAACGAAAATTAGCTACGTTACAATGCAATGACATCCAAGGCGAAGAGTTTCATCAGATGATGATGACGACTTTGTGATCCAACAAGACAGTCGACTACATTTGAAGATAGACTAGGTATTACCTATGCGCGATCTGTGTCACGTCATTGACAGCCTCTTCTGCAGCTGCCGTTCGTCGGATGACACCAGTCTTTAGATGCACGTGGAATCTTATGAAAAGTGGACGAAGTTGCTCACAAACAACAACCTTTCATCCTTGCATCATACTTCGTTCGACAGTATCCTGATGCAGGAAGAAATTTCACAGAATATGTACACCCAGAGGCTGAACACTGTTAGATGGGCGAAAAGTTTCACTATATGTGTGAAGTTGCTGGTAACTGTTTGGCGCGTAAGAACCCATTTTGAGGACACTGAATATTATGATGCAGCGCTGCAACTCCACGTAAGAGTTCTTTGTATAAGTTCGATTATTGTTACTTTAAGTGTGAGCGTCTGTCTAAAAGGGCTAATAAGGTGTCTTTGTGGTTAACTCATGCATGATTCTACCTAGCTAACGGGTTTTATCCATTGTCACAAGTAAATCCATCACCAGAGCACCATTCAAATCAGACCTGCAGGCAGAGAGAAATGAAAAACATAAACAGGCAGTCAAATAGTTCAAAGGGCACTTTTGTCACAGGGAGAGCTAAAATATTGGAAACAATCCAATCAATAGCAGACAAACCAGTCACAAATTAGAATCACTTTTGAACCCACATTATTTTCTCATCAAGTATGCCACTGAGGAGCAAAGGGCGTTTTATATGACGCACCGCCAACAGTGGGCTACTGAAAGAGATAATTTTTAGTTCGAAACCGTCCGGGCATCAGTCTTCAAATACTCATCTCCACTGCTGACACATCAATATCAGGCATCGCTATGAAGCCGGCCTGGGTGGATTTCAACATTTCTTGTACGACACTTCTGACTTTGGCCAGAAGTATTGCTGGAGACGTGTCTTCCGGGGTCCTTATTTTAAGCACTTGAGTGATACCAAGGGCTGTATTTAACTCAAGCTTATAGTCCGTGAATTTCTGCGTAAAAATATTGAAGAAACCCTGAAGTGCAGCCTCAGCATCTGGCCGTCTCGGCCAATGTATTATGACAGTCGAAACCCAGTTGGGACCGGTGTCCTGGGCACCCTCAGAGGCATCTGTGAAGAACTGAGTGGTGTTTTGGTCCTGGGTGAGGATGAGTGCCTTGGCCGCCGCCATTTTAATGTGAATGGCGCTATGCCAGCAACTTTCTTGAGTTCTCGAAACGAGAGGGATGTTATAGAACACGTGCTTCACCTGAATGGCACAATCCTTTTTGTGACTTGTTATCTTGAAATCGATAGTTTTGACAGGATCTTTATCGTCCAGTTGATCCTCAAGCACTGCACCGCTTGCAAAGATCGCCTTGGCGATTTGTGCGGTAGTGTCTCTTTCTAGTCCTGGTCCGACTTCAATCTTTGAGGGAATGCCAGCAGTTGCCGTGAGAATAGAGAGATCTTTGTACATATCGAAATTTTCGGGCGAATCGCCTGTAACAGCGGTTGGATTCGACCACAGGCCGACCATTTTCTTGGAACGAGTTACAAACCCCGTGGGAAGCGAAAGCTCGTCACTGACGGGCTCAGAAATCTCTGCTCTTTGCTCAAGGAGCCGGGATGCTCTTTCATAGTTATTGAATAGCTGGAGGACAGGTTCCTGCAATTGACTGTCTTCGGCATCGCCGGCATCAAGGACGGCTCCCGCGACATTGACTATGACCTGACCCGCTGCTGCTATATTTTCTGCCGTCGTAAGGACCTTAATCACATCGGGCACCGAAGGAAAATTGAACTTGGGCACCTTAATTTTCCAACCCATTTTTACCCCTATATCAAAGTGTGAGATTTGTCACTTGAATCGTCACTATATTGCTACTATTATTGTACATACCTTTTTATAATGGTTATAGGTCAATTGTAGACTTTGGTAAACTTTGATGCAGAATGGTGCTTACTGATATCACCATTAACATTAAACTGTGTGTCTGATGCATGAGACGGGTGGACAGATGCGGCTTTATATCCCTCTGGGACGCTCTAAAAGATTTCTCTAGATCAGAAATTTTCTCACCAAACAGTTCAGCATCCATTATTTTTTCAATGACGTGTGCAAGAGTTCAACCCGATTTCTAGCAACCAGAATAAGAGTCACCCGGACAACCATTACGAAGTCCATCAACTGATGTATGGCTCTGTAGAAGGTCTAGACTGACAATTACGTAGGATATCGCCGCTGATATATGAGGTAGAATGGCAGAGATAGACCTAGATCCTTGGTAGTCTATTTAGTGAAAGAGGAGTTGCTTTCGACTCCTGCGTGATATCAATTACACACACTTTCTCATGGAGCTGCTTGATAGGTCCGGTCCAGATTGATTTATAGAAGTTCTCCCAGGGTTTGGAAATATTAATATACGTTGATCTCCGAATGCGGCCAAAGAGCTTAGTCCTTGCTCCTAGTCCTTGCTCCCTCCAGAATCTGGGCTCAGCAAGAGAGTAAAGCCTGGAGTGGTTAGCCTTGGTGGCCATCCCTTGGCGATCTCTCATGCCCTACAATTGGAAGGACTTCAATCAAAATGAGATCGACGTGACGTCTATTAAATTGAATGCCCGTCCTCATGACAGATGAACGGACCCGAACATTACAGACGGGCATGGATGGCAAAGGACTAGTCCTACAAAATGTGAAGACATGACCAGATTCCCTGAGCTGTATTCCAACACAGACACCAGCATTACACGGCTCACTATACTCATATGCTTTCTTCATGAGGCTTATCTTATGGTGATACCTTTTTTACTGGGCAGATTTTCTGGGTGATAGAGTGGTCTGATATGGTTATATAGTATTGGAGGGCTCTATAGGCATGATAGGTAAAGTTTAGGTGGGCACTAGAGGAAACTGTTTCCCACTACTAGAATTTATAGTAGTCTTAAAATATGGGCTTACTATTTAAGGTTATAGGATGCTAGGAAATTGCTAATATTATTGTTAGCTCTATATGTGCAGTAATAGGAGTTGTAGGTTCTAGATGCCTACTAGAGAGTAGATGTATTGATAGTTGTATATCATTAATGGCCCTGCATCATTGAATGGAGTAGGGAAATGTAGTAGCTGAACTGCTAGACTTGCTCATCCTGTAGGGTGGGTGATCGTTGATCATTAGTAGCATTCAAGAGTGTATATTAAGAGATATAGTGGGTGAATAAGGTTGAACACTCACAACCTTATTTATCTTTGACAGACATATGACTCCCCCATGTATTATGTTAAGAAAATTGAGGCACTCCGCAGGCAACCACACTTGAGCTGGACTTCTTTATGGTCACGTGGCAAATCTTATGGGGTGACTATAATAGATAAGGGCAGTTCCGAGCCAAACAGAGGCAGTCATCTGTGAGACGACGAAAGGCTGACTCCGGCAAGTGGCTGGCTATTGAGGCTTACTTAGCACCTGTTATTTCATAGTCGCTCTCCAGAAAGTAGGAGAGCTATTTAGCTTTGTTACCTCATAATCATATGTTAGTCTGCTATGCTGGGTCATGCCTGCCTTTTTATCGAAACAAAGCACAGTATTTTGAGGCTTCCGCATGCGGCAATAACATAGAATACGCCACGGATAATTTAAGCTGCTGGTGTAAGCCCACGTCTAAAGGCTGGTAGCTGGATGAAAGGAAGCCACATCATCCGTCGTATTTAGGTTGACCCAGGAACCCAAGTTAATCTTAAGCCAGCCGCAGAAAGTATTTAGTGGCATGATTATTCAAAGGCATAAGTTTAATTTATCTTTAAAGTGGATCTCAAGGATGATCTTGATCATGCTTTTCTCGCTTTTAGCATTGCTCGAGGCATCAAAGTGAATCTGAGCCACTTCCGTCATCTGTGGAACTCTATTTATGTATCTGAGAAAGGATTTCACGTAGATGGAACATTGCGGTATACACCGCTTGACTGATACTGCTGAAGACCATACTTTTACAAGATGGGCTAGACTGTTCGGTAGACGACTTCTCTCTCCTGTGGCACCATCGTCACAAGGACAATCATAATGACCGGACAGACCGTGACGCAACAATGATGACGGAGATGGAGTCGAGGACAAAATGGGTCAGATGCCTCATGCAAATTAGATTTGAGGCAATACCTTATAAAGGCAGGCATAGTAGTTTTAAAAGGAATTGATGCCTCTAATCTCTGATCCTTCTTCCCATTGCCCAGTGGCTAGTCTCGGGAATAGATGAACAACCGCACACCCACGTTTGATACGAACGTTACATCGGACGATTGGTGTGGAACAATAGCTGAGCCGCCTCCAATGCCTCAACAACGCTACTCTTTGATTAATCCGAACACAAAGAGGGAACTAGTGAGAAGATGGAGAGAAGCTGTGGGTGAGAGGAGCCTCAAGACTGTTGCCGACGACAACTTGCACAATGTGGCTGGTATTGTTGATTTCCACGACAAGAACAACGTATCGATCTCTCAGTCTGCATATCAATGTATCACCCAGAGTTCGTTGCCAGCCAACATTCCAAATACGGACCCACTTAGCCTTCAGATTGGCCTCCAGATCAGCGGACATCGAGCCGTTTACCGCTGGAAGAAAAATAGCAAGGTTAACTTCGCTGCTTTCGCTGAGGGCTACGCGACATCTGACCAGGCTTTATATGCAGCTAGCATGCTGAAGAAGGCTGCTGATGAATGGAATGGACTTCAACTTGGAGTCAGCTTTGAGTGGGTCAGCGAAATTGAAGATGCGGCATTTGTGCTCGCATATGGCGGCGATGCTGGTTCGACTCTTGCGAGGGGCTTTTTCCCCAATGAACAAGATCTGAACGTGCTTTACGTCTACAGATTGGCCTTTGAACCCGGCAAAATCAACTATATGAAGAATATATTTCTCCATGAGTTGGGCCATGTGCTAGGCTTGCGGCATGAGTTTGCTCCTGAGAGAGAGGACGAAACAGTGCAACTTGGTCCACGTAACGAAAAGTCTGTGATGAGTTACGTTTTCCCCCCTACTATTCAGACAACCGATGTAGAGAGTACTCGGCAGTTTTACAGCATAACAGACGCGCAAATTGGGGGGTGGCCGATTGAAGACTGTGTTCCAAATAATTGATCACCCATAACTGGGTCCTGGAGAAGTCTCTGTTGCAAATTCCGTGCCATGCTCAAAACCTTATTTTCCTTTATTGCTCAAAAGTACTTTCTACCTGTTAATGTGTATTATTAGCCTTTCATCAACTTGTACTTACTTTATATCTGGACGGCTCGACACCCGGAAGGAGCTCCTTACATGTAAAATCCCACTGGCTTTATACGCAGGTCGGGGGGTCGTAACCCGTTAGGGCCGGTAGGGTCAAAAGGTCGCTGTGGCTGGGGAGAATCCGAGTCTCCCTCATATTGTTGAAAATACTCCTCTGATATATTCTTCTCCCTTGTTGTTTTGGATGGCACCAACCAGGGCATTGACGATCCTGCGGGAAGGAAGAATCCGGTGAGTAGCAGCCTCGAATATAGGGGAAACATGGAGAAAAATGCACTTAGTCCCCTACAATTTTATCTCCTTTTTCGTCGGACTTCAAGCCTTTCCTTCCCCGAGGTTGTTGCCATGCTGCAGACCGTCAAACCTTCAGCCGTGAGTGCTTCCGTCAGAAGCTCCCCAAAAGTAGAAGTCATTTGACCGAGCATTGTGGTTGATAGGGAATATTGAATTTAGTGCTGGCAACGGCTTAATTGATAATTTTTCTTTCCACGGATACTTCCCTTCAAAAGGAGTTTATCTGGACATCATATGCAAGGACCATATGATCCCCGTTTCCGCCGAGTCTGGTTCTGGTGATTTCCAATGACAGTTAAGATGACTGGGATTTTTAGGACGATGTTTCTTTGGCATCTGACTTCCATCAGAAATGATCATCCTTTATGCTCCAGACCTAAGGCAGATGGCTACGAGCCGATAATGTGCTTTTGCTGGGTAAAGATGTCTCGGGTAACTAAAGGATAATGCAGGTCAAATGCGTGCTGTCGTATCATGCGCTCTGCATGGTTGTTTCTGCTGTAGATAGACTATTGCCCCAACCCTTTATAGTGTTGTGTGTGTGGGTGGGGCTTGAGGGCGACCAAAAATCTGGCATGAGTTTGACACTGTCTAGGAACCTCCAGGCCGTTCTGGCCTCCATTGTGTGATCGCTCGTTACAACGTGTGGCGGTAGCCGTTTATGGCCGGTTTATATCAACGGTGGTAGAACGGAAGGGAGAGTTTAGCCGTTTGCAGCCAAATTTAAAAAGGAAAAGTTGGTAGAAAACCCAGAATTTTAATTAGGGTCTGTGAGAGATTGTTAGTGGTTATTAAAACTGAGTGTCACTACCCTGGGATCCGTCTCTGCTGTTCCTGCTAGTCACTGCTTTGGGGATGATATAGTCCCTGGACTATATCCGATACTTGCCTAAAGCCTACTGACCAGGTAGCTTAGTGATATACTGATAGGGTACGGGTCCGTGTAAGGGGATAATGATCCGAACAGGATCAAGGGCAATCTAAAGATACACAAGAATAATAACAGCAAAGATAGAAGCAGGGCCTGTTGAGTATATATACTCAATAGTAAAAGAGTAGCTGGTGAATTGGACTAGTGAACTTGTACTTAAGTGAATAACTTGTATTAAACGCGAGGAACTAAACTAAGAGTGCTAGATATAATAGTAATGAGTGTCCTTATATATCCTTAGTTCCTCCAAGTGGTAGTTGAGATAGATGGTAGGATGGTATGTTGGTAGATGTTGATGATACTGATATACCATCTATTGTATCTACCCATCTATCATTGTCAAGCTATGGCACATGGTAGTTGGTCATGTGACATGATAGCTGTATTTGGCATCTTTTTAGCAAATATAAATTGTCCTCCATAACAACTTAGTTATTTACCAGAGATTAGTCATGTGGGTGACTGATGGTGCTGATTGCCCATATAGTATAGTAGTATATAACTAAACTGTTTTTCTGCGTGGAGGAATCTGTCCGGATTAAGTGTTTCCCTGGATTGCTGGGTGATCATTTTGAGATTAATTAGTGTTTGATAATCCTTGGGATTCTGCCCGTCACATCCGCCTTGTGCTAATGTGGCTATATTAGTATTATAACATTACCTCCCCCTCTCCTAGCGTTTCATCCTTGAAACTTGCTTTAAAAGGTGGTGCTCCCCTAGGTGAGTGGTTTTTCTTCTTTTAACTATGTTCGCCCATCATGCCCAAGTATTATGCTGATATTATTCTTAAAAGTGCACTGAAGCTTCCTTGCGACTGTGATTAAATTGCTGGTTGTATCTGTTAAGAAGAGTACATCCTTGAGAATGGCTTTGTGACCTTAATACTGTGTGATTCCTGTGTCTCATCTGGCGAGGATTGTGTGATGGATTAAACTCATTATTATTCTAAGTGTGTGTTATGTACTTGTCAGGGCCGTTCATGCAAGAAGGATTTCCATACTAAAAAGGAGTGGGATCTTCTCAAGCATACTAAGAAGAAGATTACTTCTAAGCTTTCTATAATTAATGATAAATTAGAGCTCCTTTATCCTGAGCTTTAATAATTGCAAGAACATTTAGAAAAGATTTAGAAAGAGTTAATAGAAAAATAATAGAAGGTTGCTAAGTCCTTAGCCCAACATTCCTGTCTTTGTAAATAATAAAAGTTTCTTAAGGAGCGTGGTTTCAAGATGTCTAAACATGATGCTGAGTTGTTACAGATCTTGGATGAGAAGAAGTTATTTAATTAGCCTAATCCTGCTATTAAAGCTTAACAGCTGGCTGTGACTTCTGATAATCCTGATTTTAGTTAGATAGTAATAGAGATTAATCAGATGCCCCCTTCCTTCTAGGAGAATTTTGATCTTTCTTTAAGTAGTATTATTGAATGAGTTAGTGGCAGCCTATTAGGTTCTTAATAGGTTCCCATGTGTTTTCTGAGGTATTATATCCTTTCCACTTTATAAGGTAATATGGTTTTCTGCTAACTTACTTATGATTCAGGATTTATTTAACTTTGTATTCTTATTTAGTGTCATCATTAATTTCCATGTTTTCAGTGATTTTTACATTTTCTGGTGCTGGTTCTAATAATAAGATATGAAATACTGGATAAATTTTTAACATGCTCTTTAGTAGTTATAATTTAAAATTAACTGGCCCTAATTTTTCTTTGATGGCGAAGGGTCCAATTTTCTGATAGTCTAGTTTTTAACTTAGTCTTTTTATTTTAATATTTCTATAGAGTAGGTAAACTTTCTTCCCCTTTTTTAGATCTAGAGCACTCCCGTGCTTCTTATTATAGTAAATTACCATGCAGAGGTTCATAAATTTGATATTCCTTGAAAGTTAAGTCCTTAAATAGTTAATAGTATCCACTATTTCTTTAGCTTCTTCTATAGTGGGTACTTTGTTCCTTAGTTCTCCAATTAATGTGGGGTTGTATCTATAATTAGTAAAGAAAGGTATTTCCCCTGTGGTTAAGTGAACAGTATTATTGTATGTAAACTGTGCCATTGGTAAGTAAACTATCTAATTATCTTGTTAGTAATTCATATAATGTTACAAGTATTATTTGATTATCTAGTTTGCTTATTTAGTTTGCCCGTTGGCCTGTGGATGATATGTGGTTGTAAGTCTTTGCTTAATTCCTATTAAATCTATCAGTGATTGCTAAAATTTTAATATAAATAGTTTATCCCTATCTGATGTGATGTATCATGGCATTCTATAATACATAATCATATGTCCTATAAGTAGGCTTGCCAACTGCGTTGCTGTTATGTTGGTTGTTGTCAGGATTAAATAGATGAACTTTATGAGTCTGTTAGTTACTATTATTAGGTAATTATATCCTTTTAACTTTGGTAATGGTCTGACAAAGTCAACTATAATCTATTCCTATAGTTATTTTAGTGCTTCTGGTGATTACATCTTGCTATATAGCTAGTGCCTAGCTAGCTTATCTCTGATGTAAGTCTTATATTAGTGAATGTATCCCTGTACCTTCCTTCTTAGGTTTAGAAAGTAATAATTTCTTGAAATAGCTTTAGCTGTTTTTTTAGTTCCTATATAACTATATATTAGGTCATCATGGTGCTTCGCGATGATCTTAGTTCTTATATACTTAGGTATATAGATAAGTCCTTGGAAGTATATTAATCCCTTATTATTAGTAGTGAGGTTTTCATTATCTACTAAATTTTTAAGTATCTCTTAGATAATTCTGTCTTTCTTTATTTCTTTAGTAATTTTTTAGATTAATAGGTCTTCTTTTAGTTTAATTATTACCATAAGCACATAGTAGTTATAGGTTAATGTCCTATCCTTTTATTCTTTTAATATTACTGGTTTGATTGTCTTCCCTTAGAGTTCATAATTAGGTTATTAACTAAGTGCGTCTGCTTGTCCATTTTCTGTTCCTTTACAGTGCATAATCTTGAAGTTATACTATAAAAGTGTCTTAGCCTATCTGGCCTGTCGCCTGGTAAGTTCTTTCGTTATTATAAAGAATGTGAGATTCTTATAGTCTGTTTTTATAATAATAGTGTGCTTAGCTCCTTCTAGGTATACCCTCCAGACCTTAAATGCTACTACTATAGCTAGTAATTCTTTATCATAGATGTTATAGTTAAGTTCTGCCTGAATTAACTTCCTTGAATAGAAGGTAACTAGTTATGGTTTTCTATTAGGTCCTGGTTAAGTTATTCTCATCCTGATTACATAGTTAGATGTATTAGTCTTAATAGTTGTTTCCTTTTCTGGGTCATGTTATACTAATATTGGTGCCTTAGTGACTTGTTGCTTTATTTTATAAAAGGCATCTTTATAGCCTTTATCCTATTTAAACTCCTTTGCCTTCTTGAGTAGTGCAAAGAGTGGGTGCATAATGTTTATATAGCTAGTAATGAATTGTTAATAATAATTAATAAGTCTGATGAATTACTGGACTTTCTTAACATTCTTTAGTTAAGGCTATTTAATGATTGCCTTGACTTTGTTCTGGTCTATATAAATGCCTTTAGTAGATATCCAGTGTCCTAAGAACTTGGTCTCTTGGATATAGAATTTATATTTTTTAAGTTTTAAA